CAGAGATTTTGGAATGTTGACATATGTTATTGTAACATGAATTTATTTTTCAATCTTACCCTGGTAGTGGTGTGGCGTAAATCTCTGGCAATAGCGAGTTTGGATAATCCTCGAGGCAACTTTTGTAACTGTTTCAATATGTTTGTATTTCACAGTTTTATAATGCTCTCTGTTTGAACAATCATAAATGATGACTGAGGTTAATTGTTCCATACAATTTTTACAAGTTTCATTATATTCTTACCATCAGACAGTAATAAATTTTTGAATCTATGTGTACCAAAAGTGGCGCCCGTCCTCTCCATACTCTTGGGTACGGTCGACCTTTCACGAGACCCTCGAAGGAACGAACGAAGGGACGCTGAGAAATGCCTAGATACCCGTCACGGGACCTTTCTGCTTTCCCCATAAGCCCTTTTTCTGAAACCGTTCGGCGGTGTCTTCATTCATCCGGCGGTGACGAGGCGGCCGGGTGGTTGGAATAAGGGATGGCATATTTCTTATAAAATAGATAGACGACGGGGAATGCAGAAATATGTGGGTAAAATATTAAGAAAATTGAATTATACTCAAATTTAAATATATTTCATTTAGCAATAATGATTCTTATTTATAATTTGTTACAAATATGGCTGATTATTTATAAAATTAAAATTCACTAATAAGGGTAAATCCCGCATCGCTTGTCTAGAATTTTAATGAAACTTGGAATAGTGGCAGAGTTTATGTCCAAACTGACTTTAAATGATATTAAATGAATGCCGCAGATTATTTTATGAAAAAGATATATTTTTCATTCTATTAATATTGTCCATCCCTTGCAAAAAAAACACCCATTCTACCTCAAATAACCTTTGTTGCCCATGTGGAGGGATGAAACGTGAAAACTCTGTCGTGCCATGAAGAGATGATTGAACACGCACACGAGAGCGTTAGGCGGGCGTCGTTGTGTACACAAGTAACTCTCACAACGCTCTCGATAAAAATATATACTAAATGAGATATGTCTGCTGGCTCTCGAAAATGTTTCATTTCCGAATCATCGAATTTTGAACTACTAAGTCTCAGAATATGAACCTCATGATTAGAACTATAAGCCTATTAGCATTAATTACATTTGGAAAGTGTATGATTTAATTTCTTAAAATGTTATTTTTTATTTAAATTGTTATTGGTTTCCACTTTACAGCATTTTTAGCCACCTACATTATTCATATTATTTTTCATCATATTCTATACAATTCTTACATAGTATTTTTTATACATTCATCATATATATATACTATTCCTTCTTATATCCTAATCTTCCATTCAATTTTCTTTCTCCAATTCCATTCAATTTTTTTCTTTTCTTTTGTTTTTTCAATATGTTCTTCTCATCTTTTAAACTATACTTTTTTTTCCTTCTTACTTCTAATACAATTTTTCTTTGTATCCTACAAATTAACAATTCCTAATCTAATTAATATTTTATATTTTTAAATCTGGTATTGCTGGAGATTCGAACTGAATTCTTCCAGCGTGTGAGTCGAGAACGCTGCTGAGTGAGCTATTCCCGCCACGAAATGTTATAATATCTTACGGTTTCTTATATTGTTCAGTTTCTGACATTTTTCCTTCTGACGTTCTTCATGAAACAAAACTTTTTGACATTTATATTGTACACATTTAAATATTGTGTACGTTCTGAAACAATATTACGAAATACCAATGTTCAATCATCCACTGATAAACATACTTTCAAAAAAAATTAGCAGCATTATACCAAGTTTAATCATTTTTTTAAATATTGCGGTATAAATATATTATGTTTTTTTTTTTTTGAAATGGAAGCTGAATGATTTCGTATATATTAAACAAGTAGGAATTGTGTTTATATTAGACTGGGTCTTTTGTATGAGTATGCCGCGCTCAATAAGACTTGAATATTATATCGTCTAAAACTTGCGCTTATCTCTTGCTTCTGGTTCTCACGAAAACCCCCGTCATGCATGGGGGGAGGATCTAGAATGCTATGATTCTCTGAATTATACTTTTCTTCTTATTAGTGCTATTCGCTGTTCTTTTTTCGGAAGATCGCAAGTCATTGTTTAGAATCTAATATCAAATCAAATAGTATCAAATTATTAATTAAAACAATAAGGCATAAGTGAAGCTGATGGGATATCTTTATTATTTGTAATCTTAATATTTCTATTATTCATAATTCTGGTATAAACTTAGGTTTTACCTAATAAATTATCATACTCGTAAAATTTATACTAAGTAAGCATTAAATGAAATCAAAGCAATGGTAAAATTATACATCAGTATCGGATAAATATCATAAAAGCTTTTTTATTTGTGATATAAACACAAATACAGTATCCATATTTGACTTACTTTTTATATATAATTCGATCGCATTTTATGGAAAATTATCTTCATCTCTCCTATGACGTGACATGCACGTGTTTTGAAAAACACGTGTTGCTTCCATCCTCATATACATATATCGTATTCTCAAAAGCGCATGCGTCCTATTAGTATTCTGGGAGGAGTCGCATGTCGGGCTTAATGGCACGAAAACCTTAAATTCGCAACTAAAGGAGGAGCAAGCGAGAATTCGGTCCTAATTATTTTTTAAAAGAGTTCACGAAACGGCAAACCCTCTATTTAAGGACCTTTTGTGCATCAGTCCTTTTGTGTGATTTAGAATTTAGGCGCGGCTGTTAAAGTTGTTATGCCGGAAAGATAATGGGGTTGTTTTTGTAAGGTGTGTGGTATTGAGAGATCTATGAATAGAAAAGAAGTTGTTTTTGAATTGAACTTATCATTTTTATTACTTGTTAAAACTGCAGGAAGAGTGGCCATTTTTCTGTTCCGCATAATTTTTGTCATGGCATTGAAATTAAAAACTTTTACAGGAAATATTTAGTTTACACAAATCTAAATTATTTGATAAAAATGCAGAAATCTGAGTAATTTTTTTAATTCATGTATTTTTTAAGCCTGCATAACATTAATTTTCCTTCTTAATAAAAAATAACATATCCTAATTATAGTATTGAAATTATTTTCTGAAAATGCAAAAGTTATTTTCTTTTTTAAATGTCAGTATAAAATTAATTTCCATGTTTTATAGTAAATACAAAGTCAAATAATAAAAATTAACATTATTATTATTACGCAAGTTTAGTTTTGTAAATCACATAATTATAAATGACTAGCAAACCGGGCGAACTCCGTTTCACCACCAGATGGTTTTATTTTAAGTAACATTTTGTTTGGTGATTAAAAGATGAAGAAAAAAATTGCCTGCTATTGAAATTGAATAAAAATTTGCACAATACACGTGATTGATTTGAAGGTTTCCAATTGAAATGTTAGGAAACGAATAGCTTATTTTTTTACTTCTTGGCACAATTTCACAGTGAACACAATGCTGGTTTGTCACATGAAATTAACTGATCAGAGAACAATGAGTAGCTGTCAAACAAATAAGTAGCAGTTAAACAAAAATATTAGTTTGTAGTACATGCTTAGTATCAGGGATGACGCTGTACGTGAAAAAAGAAAGTGTTTTCCGCTTTCCTGTTGAAATCTTTCTTCAATTTTTTTTGCCATAAACCTCACGGTGTCCGAGACCTTTCCAACGAATGCAAAATCAGTTCGTGCGTTTTCGTATTATATCGTCAGGAAGGAAAACGGACTTATTTTTATATAATAGATAACTATCTAGAATGCTATAACAATTATTTTCATTCTGATCCAAAATGACATGAATGCTACAGCATTCAAATTTAAAGACGATTATTTTTAATTTTAGGTTTTTGTAATTATTATACCTGCAAGATAATGACTAACTGATTCTTCAAGTATATTCATATTATAATAACTTATACAAGAGTTACTAATTAGCTTGGTCAAACACCTTGCGTACAATAGAAGTGTAATAATTGACGTGGATGCTATAGCATTCATCATATATAACAATTAATATATGATAATCTGACTACTCTCATAAACGATTTTTATAAATAAAATGACTGTCAATTTTTTTACCTTGCTGAAACTTGTACTGTCTGCGAAATGTTAAATTATATTAATCTTCTATACTCGTATAGTTATCTAACCTTGGTGCTAATAATTTCGCAAGTACATTTCATTAACCCTTACATAAATACATTTAATACGAATATAAACAAGCACTTTAGCTAAATATATATCTATATACACTGAAACCCGCATGTACGTCCTGATACATCCGTTTACCCAGAGCTGTGGAATTTTTTTGTCCGTCTTTCCTTTCGTTTTTCCGTGGAACTCGACTGCTGCTCGGCAGCCAGCGAGCGCGGAGAAAAAGTTTATTATGAAAAAGTTTTAGCCGTCGGCGTCGAACGAATACTGGGTCGGGTAAGATAGTGTGCGTTGTGTAACGTCGGCCTGCACCCTGTGTGAGAGAGAGTTTCATGAGGGATGAGGGCGCCGAGCGTATTTCCCGATTGTCGGTAAGGGGTGTGAGAGCGGTGAATGAGATTGGTGCACGAGGAATTGGGTACGATATAGTGGTGGAAAGTTATTGGCAGAAGATAGTTTATCGACTTCGTGGAACTATTATTGTGTTATTCGGGGTTTATTGTTTTAATCAAATTTTCTTTGTTTTTGTTTAGGATCATATTTAGGATCAAATTTTCTTTGTTTTGTTTAGAATCATATCATTTTTATATGGTTACAAATAACAAATCGTTTTAAAAAAATTTATATGATAAGAAGGAAATTTGTTATAACTTCATGATATTATCTGTATGGTTTTTAGCATCTTGTCTAATTTACCATATTTTCAATAATTTCTCCAAAATGAACTTTCTCAAAATCAAGTTTCGCATACAAATCGTGAACTATAATGACTAGATTTGTAAATGTATATAACTGAGATTAATTAAAATTAAATTATCTTTAATTCAAAAATTTCTGACTACGGTCAGAAGTATTTTGATCCCATCTTTTGACTTGTTACCCAATTCAGGACATTGTGTAAAACTTACTATATAATAATATATATATACATATACAAATCTCGGTTCTAGTTGAAAAAGTCAGTTAGAATGTAACTAACTTTAAAATTAATATACTTCTATTTTACTTTTTAACTTTTCGTAGGGTAAGTTATTGTAATGGGCCGAAAATCGGAATTGAAATTTTTCACATTTCTCGACGTTTTGAAGGTTTCTGAACATTTTGGCATACTTCAGAAAAAATGGATGTGTGTGTGTGTGTATGTATGGATACAATTTTTTGTCCACGATTTCGGGCGTTTTGAATGGTTCAAAAAACATTTGAGTCCTATTGATAAGGAGATGTGCTGATTAGTTTTTTGGCAAAGGCAGGTCCAGCCGTTACGGAGATACGGAGCAAAGAGCGCAGAAATAGAAATCGAGTTTTTGAGAGAACGGAGCATCCGATTTGAATGAACTAAAAACATTCAATTAGTAATGATTGGGAGAAGTGGTTATTAGTTTTTAGTTAAGGTAGGCCCAGCCATTTTGAAGATACGGAGCTAAATGTACAAAAAATGGTAGTTTTTGAGAGAACTAAGCGTCCGATTTAATTGATTTTCTGTTTGTAAGTTAAAGAACTTTCTACTTGTCTTAACAAAATAAATGATTTTGGATTTTTTTTTAATTTTTTGTATATCGAAAATAATTCAGATTTTATTTTTAATTCTGACTATAGTTCTAATATACTTTAAACAAATAATTTCAACTTTGCAATTCAGTTTATATAATTCTTATAAATATTAGACAATGTTACAATATTTATAATAATCTATTTGAAAACATTCAGTATTCCTCGAACATTTCGTTACGGTACGGGAAGTTCCAGCAATTTGCCTTAAGGCACGATGCCACCCACCCCACTAGTTTCTCATTTTGATTTCGAACATTTATACCATATTAATGATAATATATCTCAAAAAGGGATTTTTAAAATCACAAACATTTTGAATTTTATGGAAAATTAGGTTATTTTTTCATATAATTGTCATTGTTGTCATGTTACCAAAATGTTTAAAAATATATAATAAAATTTTAAATTTTAAAAACAATCAAATTTGCAGTATGATTGTTTACAAACATATATAGTATTTTATTTAATAAACTTCTTCATTTGTCTGTTAACATTTTTTTTTAAAGTCTGGTCTATGAATGCCACTGATCATTGGCAATTGAACCATTCATAAAGCAAGTTTAAAAACAAGTCTTTATTATTCAAGACTTCGATTTGTTTACCTAATTTGATTATTACTTTATGGCATTCAAAAAATTAGTTTTTTGGACATATAAGTTAAATCTCAAATAAGTAAACAGACATACTTATTGAACATATATTTTACAAATTTACTCTAACTAATAGCACAATAACACAAATTACTTAATGAGCTAGATAGCCTGTCACATAAAATAGTGCAATTAATCCAACATATTATTATCTAATACAACTATTATTATTATAATCTTTTATTTTACCAATTGAATCAAACAATAAAATCTAAACTATAAATATTAAGAATGAAATATGTAGAAATATAATTGATAATGTGTAACTCAGAGATATATACATTTCATTTATTATTTTATTACATAGTATATGAAATTCAAATGATTGATTAATCTAAATTTTATTGAAAGTCGACAAAAATCCAATATTTCTTAGTCCATTTGACCAGTCTTTTATCAAATTATCTATATTTTCCGCGATCAAATGTTTCCATCACTAGACCTTTACGTTGCTTCGGAAGTTTTGGGATTTCGGTCCGTCCGTCTGTTGGAGTCTCCCTGTTCCTCTCACGTGTGGGGTTGGGGTGCACAATTCCGAGAATCGGAGAGATGCCTCTGCTAGTCCCTTCTAGGCACTTTTCTCATCGCTCGTCGACAGAATGACGGCTTCTGGGTTGGCTAGAACGTATTTTCCTTCTGGTAGAAGAAAAGTGTTCAGTTGTATGTCATGTTGCCTTTGGTAAGGCAACCGAAGTGCGACCCAGCATCCCCGTTATTCAATATTTTCTCTCTCACGAAATATTATCCGTGAACCAGAATAGACTGACAGCAGAAAATATCACGAGAGGATACTGGAAAGGTTTAGATCGATATGGATGCCCTGATTTGATTTCAAATTTCTACAAATATAATAGGAAATGATAGGGGGCATCGTGAAATAAAGATCGAATGGGAAACTATTGGATAACGCATAACCGCATTTTCGAGGGATATAAATAAAAAATTCTTAATTCATTTAAAAGTAGATTATTACATCTAGTAGTAGAATTAACACAACGATTTTTTTACTTTGTCTAGAGTTTTTTTTATGTTTTGAATGCATTTAATTCTCGGACAACATCAATTGAAATCACTGCTAGGGGGATTTGTAGAGAGCCATCACTTTCGGACAAAACAGAACGGATGCGCCAAAAACTTTCGGCGGTTTTGCCCGGATCGTACAAAAGCGTTCCAGAACATCCGCAATTTTATTTGTACGCTATACACAATGAGATTTCAAATATTTCAAATCGTTTTGGATGCAAAATCGCATGTCATATTAGGAATGAAGTTTTACATTTCATTTTTTTTGTACCAAGTAATTTTACATTCTCGACAAATAAAGATAAAATACAAAGTTTTCATCTATATTTATCTAAACAAAACGTTTCCAAATCATAGCTACTAATATTAGCATGTTCTGCAATTAATTGCTTTCATGTATTTTATAATGCAGGATTATTATTAATTTGAATTTTCCGTTTCTCTTAGCAATATTTGAGGTAAAATTTCATACAGTATAGCATATGCAAGGGAGAATATCTGAAAAGCTAAATCCACTGCTGGATTGTCGGTCACTTATCTGAGGGACTCCCCGATTGTAGGGTTTATACTCGCACAGAATACAATGAGAGCTTTCAGCCAAGGTTTCATATATATGCTGTTGATGTATAATAATAGTAGAAGACTATATGGAATTATTTGAGGGTTATTGCGTAGAAAAATATAGTTCTGACACACACAAACATATAACTCATATATTTATTTTAAATTTTATCATATATGAATATGTGTGAGCGTGTTTATTAAATTTATGTCATTTAATATGATCTTCTCTATCGTTTCAGGGTATGCAACCGACTGCATCATCATATCGCAAAGTTGCAGTAGTCGAAAACTTTTTTGACATTATCTACAGTGTTCATGTAGATTTGGAAGGCAGATGCGGGAAACATGCTGGTCAGAAACGAACATACCGCACGGTAAGTCAAGTATATAAATTATGCACGCACATTCTGTTTGAATCAGGTGAGATTTATGTAATGAAATTTTTATTTTTTCACAGATTACAGAAACATACGCTTTTTTACCACGCGAAGCCGTAACTCGTTTCCTAATGGGCTGCACAGACTGCCAACGTTCTCCTCGATCAATATCCCCGAATAGCAACATTCTGACTACTCCTCCAGCAACACCACCGCCTCCGATTTTAACATTGCCTGCTTCGCAAACAGTGACTCCTTGCGAAAAGGTGCAGCCGAATAGACCACCGATCGCCAGTAAAAATTTCAAAGAAGAACACAGACGAATGCGTGCTCCAGAAGCAAAAAGTCCAGAAATCGAACAAGTACCATTGAATGGCGGCAAGAGGAAGTTGGAAATTGAAAATCGAGTGGAAGAGAAGCCGAGGGTAATGGTTGCAGCAACTCATCCTTTGGATGTTAGCAATCTGGTGTCGAATGATGCACCGATGGATCTTAGTACGGGTGATGGACCGTCTAAAAAACGAGCTAGGGTGGATTCAATGGAATCAGAGGTAATAATTGAAATATAGGTTGTAATAAAATGTGAATATTGATCTGGAAATTGTCACACGATTATGTTTTGATATATGTACTTTTTACTCAATGTTTTAATTATTGTTTTCTAATATTTCTTTTCCTCTTTCAGCAATCTGAGACTGCCGGCGCACCTTGGAGCCCAAAACGAATGATCAGTGCCTTTCCGATACGAGCTTCTACACCCATAGCTCTTCCGCCTCCACCTATGCCTCCAAGTGAGACAACGCTAGATTATTACAATTTTCCGGCGACGGCGGCGTTTCTGAGGCATGCTCGTGGCCTGAATTTCGGCTTGGGCTTGGGTTACGCGACGGGACAGGACGGCCTGACTTCTGCTGCGCATCTCGACCGTTACGTGAGTACAAGACTAGCTTTGTACCGATATATTATGCGCGAATTGTGTGCTCGATATTTGATATTGAACGCACATCATACGATTTAAATGATGAATCGTAATTTGGAATAGACATGCTTGAAAATCGTCTTATATATGTGTTGGAGTTATGACTTTTTAATCTTATTTGAAGTAAGATATTGACTGCGGATCTTGACCATTTTGTCATAACGTTGTTCCCAAATGATTTTACTTTATTTATTATCCTTACAATATTTTTAACTTTTAAATCTCGAGGTTTTAATCTGTTTTGAAGTACGAAATTGACTACGAATTTGAACCATTTGACCACATTTTTGTTCCCGAAGAATTTTTCTTTAATTTATAATTTTCACAATAATTTTTACTTATATATATATATATATATATATATATATATATATATATATATATATATATATGTATATATATTCACGTTTGAAGTCAAATTGAATCCTAATGAACGACAAAAAGCTAAACGTTTGATTACCTTCCTAAATAAAAAACATTGGCATTGGAATAAGTAATCAGTAAACTCACCTACACATATATACATATAAATACACACACAAACAGTTCAACTAAATTAAATAAAATTATTCATTATCTAAATCTATCATTATTTTCTGATTCAATATAACTGAACTATTACAAATAATTCAATGATGGTATCAGTGAATTAATTTAATTTCTAGATATTTCTTCTAATATTATTCCTTATTTTCATTTTATTACGATGTGTGTTATTTATTAATTTCGAGTTTTCAAGCATGTTTATTCCTATTTGAAGGTTTATGGAACAAATGCGTGTAATTCAATTGCAATATAACCGCTGCCTTATAATGCCTTATAAATAGCCTAACCATATCTATATATAGTAATATTTATGTATATAAAGAGATTTTATATATGCAAGTAAAGTCAGAAACCTAATACGGATAATTTATTCTATACCATCCAATAACTTACAGAACATAGCTCAATTTAATAACATGTAAAAAAATCGACCAACCTGCTACATCAGCTTGTTTCGAGAATATTTATTTATTCTGTTTAAACATTTTAAAGAAGTTCTGTTGAAGTATTATGATACTAGTCATTCTGCACTTGAAACCTGCGCCCTGATAAAAACGCTATAATCGCTTCTTTTATATATTAAAAGTATACGCATTGTTCCATTATACCGAGAGATAAAAATAGTTTGCGCTAGCTTTACTTTTCAGCGGCAGGTGTGCGCCGGAAAAATTATAACCCATTGATCAAGGTTTGTGCGAACTCACGTTGCGGTGGTTCGAGTACATTTTCCGTTATTAAAGTTATAATGACGGGGAAGTGTTTTAGTTATTTTGGTTGGACGAATTGTCCGCTGCTTATGCGTGTGATATTCTGCTTTATTTATTTAAATTAGGCTAGTTTTGGAATTTCGATTCGTTATCGACTAAATTTCGCTTGTATTGCTTCTGCAAAGATCTCTGTCAGGCGATGATAAGATCGATTCCTTTATTGTGATAATTGTGCCAAAATTGTTTGCAAGAGTGCCTGTGGAGAGTGCATTGGTTTATTTGGGTATGAGTAGTTTTATTTATCTTGAGGAGTATTATCAACTGAAAGTTATACATTTCTTTACCATCTTAAAACCATATAAATCAATATTTAGTAAATGCTCTGCATAGATTTTTATTCATTCCCAACGTATTAGACAAAGGGAACAACTCTCGAATAAAATAGGTATATTATAGTAATGCTATGTTAGGGGTCTATGTTCGTATGAGTTGGTAGTTTTTATATGAGTTGTGGAATCATGTGTTTTACACATAAAACCTAACAACAAAGAAACATCAGGAAGTTGCACTTATAATGAAATTATTATTTCACGTTTGTACGTTTTGTAGAAAAGCTTTTATGTGTAAAACTCATACAAATCTAGACCCGTAATATAGCATTACCATAACATATCTATTTTATCGGCTAAAAAGTTTCTTATTTAGGCACAAACAAAAGTTAAATAATGTTTTCTCTGATCTCATATTCCAGAAAGCGCAATAACTTTAATCAGCAATTTAATTCTGTGTTTTAATTACGAAGGTAAATTTTTCTCGCCTGATTCGATTGAAATTAAAAGCTTTTTGCGTGTGTTTTTTGCTAAATTACGCTTATTTTGCCAATTATTCAATTACAAATTTGCTTTCTGCGTTTTATTCAAAATTTTTAATAAACTTAAGCTTAAATTCGCATGCGCTTCTTAGGAGATAGTTAATTTGTTAATGCTTCTTTAGATTGATAAGCTCGTTTGTTATATTTAACACTAATGCAATAACCATATTCAAGTTTTAAGAATATAGTTACGTTTCTCATTGTACCTCATATTAAGACTGTCATTGTTACTAATTTTGTGAACATTATAAATAGAATTTATATAGACAATATATATTAGAAATATTTATCACTTGTTAATAATACAATGTTTTACATATGCTCCGTTATTTATAGCAAGTAATCCATTATATCTACCTCAAATAGATTGTAAATTTAGGTTTAGGCATTTTTCATTATTAAAACTATTATTGCTTTATTATTATGATTATATTCGAGATCTTCATTCGAAAGAACGTCGTCTGGAATAATAAACTTTTTGAATAAAATTTTTTGCAAATTAAATTATCGTGTTTTTAAATTAATAATTAATTAAATTTAAGGAAATAGGATTAAGGGATTTAAATAATACTTCATAATAAAATAATTAAAAATTAATAATTAAAATAATAACCAAATTCGGTGTATTATAAAAATTACATATATTAGGATAACTATTTAACGTTCCTAGATAATCTATATTAAAAGATCTATAAATCTTTTTTTATTGTTGTAAGCTTATTAGACGATTTTTGTCAATATTTTTTAACTGAAGTATGAACCGAAGTATATTTTATTTTGTCGTATTGTCTTTTAAATATTCAAGTATTGTATAATGTCTCCGATTAACTTGGCAACAATATTACTTAAAACCATTATCGTCTAGTAATACGGTATCAGCAGTCACACAACCTGAACTCACTCGCGAAACGAAAGCTCGGTGTTTGAGTCAGCTCTGTGCTTTTGCGAAAGCAGCAAGCTTTATGCAAAGTTTGTACCAAACCGAGGCAAGTTTTGCTTTGGATTCCTAGTAAAAGCTCTAGAAGCCTTCCATGTTCTGAGTCGTTCCGAGAGCCCTAAGACGTGGAAAGGCAAAGGTGCGGGTTCACACCCGCCGGGGGCGGAAGACCTACATAATGTAACCAGAAGACAGTTTATAGATTGTGTATAGGCACGTGTGTCGTTATACGTAACATCGTTTTATATATTCAATAGAAAACACTTCAAACATTTATAAATTTCTTTTTTAAGACTTTATAACACGTTATGCATAGTGAAAATTATAAATAGATTAAAATATTCGTGCCCAAAAATATTGAAATTTATTTAAGATGCTAAGTTTTGCTAATTTAAAATTTTTCTATAGTGTTCATTTACATTGTCAAAATTTGTATTGTTTGATAACGTTGAGTATTTTATTAACAACTGTCGGCCCAGCCGTTTCTCTGGTATTCTTTCTCTACATTTTAGGAAAATACTGATTCAGTTTAAATTAAAAAATCATCAGTTTTAAATAACGGGCAAGAGAATGTCGATTTTTGAAGCTACTTAATACAAATTCTTATTAATCCTACTATTCACAGTGGGTATGGAAAGTTTGCACTTGCCATAAGGCCAATACGGTGCCAAACAGTGCCACAAGGCCATTAAATGGCTTAGATATTATTATTAATTAATCAAACACATTTTTCTTGATCTAATTTATTGTTACTGGTTGCTTGAAAGCCTAATAATTTCTAGTGCATTTCACAATATATTGTTCATATATAATTTTGAAATATAAAAATAAATTGGCGTCCAACTATTTTACCAATTTTACCTTCAGATTCTCTTAGTAAAAGTTACAAAACATATTAAAAAGTTTGTTTAACTTGCCACAAGGCCAAAACTGTGCCAAACAGTGCCATAGGGCCATTGAATTGCTAAGATTTTATTATAAATTAAATAATAAAACACAATTTTCTTGATCTAAATTATTGTTACTGGTTGCTTAGAGGACTAATAATTTTTAGTGCATTTTACAATATATTGTACATAAAGAATTTTGAAATATAAAAATAAATTGGCCTCCAACTATTTTACCAAATCCTTGATCAGAAGCCTCCTTCGTCGTAGGGATTTTCTTCACATTCTCCTGGTAAAAGTTACAACACATATTAAGAATTTTGTTTAACTTGCCACAAGGCCAATACTGTGCTAAACAGTGCCATAAGGCCATTGAATTGCTAAGATTTTATTATAAATTAAATAATAAAACACAATTTTCTTGATCTAATTTATTGTTACTGGTTGCTTAGAGGACTAATAATTTTTAGAGCATTTTACAATATATTGTACATAAATAATTTTGAAATATAAAATTAAATTGGCCTCCAACTATTTTACCAAATCCTTGATCAGAAGCCTCCTTCGTCGTAGGGATTTTCTTTACATTCTCCTGGTAAAAGTTACAACACATATTAAGAAGTTTTTTTTAACTTGCCACAAGGCCAATACTGTGCCAAACAGTGCCATAAGGCCATTAAATTGCTAAGATATTATTATTAATTAATCAAACACATTTTGCTTGATCTAATTTATTATTACTGGTTGCTTAAAAGCTTAATAATTTCTAGTGCATTTCACAATATATTGTTCATATATAATTTTGAAATATAAAAATAAATTGGCGTCCAACTATTTTACCAAAGGCCTGACGAGAAGCCTCCTGGTGGAATTCGTCGTCGCGATTGGTTTCCTTCAGATTCTCCTAATAAAACATTTGGCAGCATATCTGGTTGCCGGGTTGTCTGCTCTTGTTCTTGAGTTCCTTCTCCGTACATAGTTCGATTGCTTTTTTGGGTCATGCTCGATTTGATGCTCACTAAAGGGAAAAAATTAAATAATGATATATAGTACAAGGCACTAATTTTATAAATTTATTTACTTGTGTCTTC